TACACGATTAGGCTTCTTTAGACAATGTGTGCAATGCGGTTTCAAGTTTCCTAGTCATAGAATAAATGATAGAAAGAATTCAAGAGATGTACTTTCTAAAAAAATCTGTTAAGATTGCAGAGCAATATGCCACGATGATGTGAAAGAAAGTCTAACAATCCTAAAATTTGACCCAAGTCGAGAACTGCCTGGACTTAGAATTACCGACAGAAAAAATACCAAGTTTCTCCAAAATTCACTAAGCTGAATTACAACACTTACTCAAAAAGCTTGATACTGATTCACAAAAAAGGAAGCTTAATCAAGAAAGAATAATCAAGAAAAAAAGTGAACTTATCATTACCTCTTCCAAAGCTTTGATGGGGCGATTGGCAGTAATAATGATCTTCTTATCTTCGGGCGATGGTCCTGCTGCGAGGATTCTTGTAGAGCAATTAGGATCACATGAGTGATTTATATATCTGTAATTTCGCGACGTTTGAAAAGTCAAAAATAACTATCACAAAAAACCCCGGAATAAAGTTTACCTTGCTGGACCACCTGCCATCGTAGCATCAACGAGCAGATCCTCGTCTATTCGGAACATGTAAACGCCGCGATTCTGAGCTACATATCGTTTTTCCCGCATTTCACCAACTTCGCTTCGAATGACTTCTCCCTAAGAATGATTCATTATAGCAAGTAAACCATGCATAAAAGTGCCATCGAACCTTGTACTCGATGATCATGTCGCCCATGTGTATGTCCCGTTTAGCATACAGTCCAAGACCTTGAATTTTGGAGCGAGCCAAGTAAACTGTTTGCCGCCAGTCTTTCCGCATCTTTTGGTACAGAGTATAGCTTTGCGAATTACTTGAGAAAGGCTCGCGCCCTCCCAACGCCTAGAAACAGAGATGACAGAAGGGAAAAGAACAGAATCGTGAATTTTTTATCTTTTTAGCAATTATATTCTAACTTCTCATTTGTTTCAGTAGAGCTGTGTTTACACGACAACAATGTACTCACCAATGCCCATTCTGCTCCAATGCCAGAAGCCTGCAACATGGCTCGCATCTGAGCACTAGCCAATTCATCTGTGAACGAAGATCCAATACGTCCCCTTGTTCGTCCGCTGCTACTAGATGCACTGTCTTGTGTTCCTCGGCTAAAATAATCCACGATAAGGGTTACCATTTGTGGTAAAAACGTCTCTCTACGATACTAGCTATTTAGATTTTACTTTTCTTGCCTGGTGGATGGCGCGCTTGCGAGCGCACGTTGCTTGTGCTTTATCAAGGTTCGAAATCGCGGTTCACAACGGGCACATCCGGAAGGGTTCACAGCCAACGGCAAATCAAGTAGTGGACTACCAGGATGCCGGAAAGTGTATGTGAACAGTCCATCAACGCCGGGTAGCTAGAATATCACTATCAGTAACATACTCAACCATCACAACGAAAAGCTGTGAATTTCCGGTAAGCCAGAAACATAAAAGGTCTATCAATTTGAGAACGTACCGATTCAGTGATCTTGCTTATCGCAGATTCATTCAGGCCAAACAAAGTCTCTCCCTGGATACCCTTCGAGAAGAAACGCAAAGCATCGGTTTTTGCCCGCATTCGTTCAACGGCTGTTATAACTTCCGACCACGCTTCTGGAATAAAACAGATAAGAGCAATCTAATAAAAATGAGCTTGATGCATTACGCAATTCGAAGACTGAAAATGCACAATACAGCAAAATAATGTTTGATTACACAAACCTGTTGCAGAATCTCCCTCATACGTACGCTCTCCACATGATACGACAAACTTAGGTCTATGATCTACATCCTTGATTTTGCAAGTATACACCAATCGTGTTTTTGGATCATCTGGTGACCAGAACCAGCGCGATGCATGATAGCCATTCTTTAAAAAACATATATGCAACACAGCAACTGATGCATAAACAAATCACTCACAGGGAATATATGGGTTTGATTGTGGAAAGTTTTCAACTGATCCGGAAGTAGTTGCCCCACTTGGAAGAAGCATAACGCCCCTAGCCGAAGGCACAGACGTGTATTGGAATCAGACAAATCGAACAGACGTGACAACAGAGCGTTTTCGTCCCGCTCAATGTAAATTCTTCTGAGAGCCTCCAGCGATGTGACCATAACATCAGGACTGATCTCGGGATGCTTTGTGCAGAAAAAGGTCTGGAAGGAGTACAATATAATAACGACACATGAATGCAATGGATTTGTATCGCTTGCAAAAAAAAAACCAAGAATATCTCTAGAAGCGGATACAAGATAAAAAAGGGAAAAAATCCGATTCAAGCAGAAAATGAAGTTCACAAGACGGACAAACTAACCTTGTCTTTGATAAACTTGGCAGTTTGTATCTTCGCTGCACATGGCAAATGGAAGTTGACATTGCAATCGACCTTATGACACTGTACGCTTGCGCCTACACGTCCACATAAATGACAAATCACTCCGGCAGCTCGAACTATTGCACGATCAACGTGAAGAAGAGCACCGGAAGAGGATTCGAAAACCTTAACAACCTGATCTCTAGTAAAATGCTCACTTGAAAAAGATTATAGCGCAAAAAAGCTAACCTCTGTGCTCCACATCGCGCAGTTAACGTGGACCCATAGATTTGCACTCAAATTGAGAAGTCGTCCACAAAGTGCAGGATCACCATCTCCTATACCTCCACAAAGAACACACACACGGCGATCAAGTTCAAATGATGGACCCAAACCGACGCCCATTTTTGGTGAGAGTGCCAACTCCTAAATAAGACAATCATCAAGATGTTCTTACGCAACGAAAAAGGAGGAAAGTTCTCTCAAAACGATCACAGACATCGAGAACCTGACTTACATGCTTCGTTTGCTGAATTTTGAAGAACGACTGCAACAACTCGCGACTGTACGTTTTCCAATCATCACCAGGATTGCGACCAGGATCTTTGCGCTGAGAAACATCGTGGATGCTTGCCAAGTCCGCAACGCGTATGATCTATGGACACATCGTTAGATGGAGTTAAGAGTCAAGGGTTCTCAAAATTTACCTGCACATTATCTCTACGCCCTTCATCCATGACATAGCGAGTGTCCCGAGGTGAAGTTAAAAATGCGTCTGGCGGAACAGCTGGAGCAGGCGGAAGGTCCATTCGCATCTAAACACGGGTTTCAGATGTAAAGGATGGTTAAAATTGCACATAAAAGGCAACGCTCACCTTTCCCTGATTTATGCATTTCGCAAAACT